GGGTCTTCGTTTTAGTCCATGGGGTCTTCGTTTTAGTCCATAGGGTCTTCGTTTTAGTCCATGGGGTCTTCGTTTTAGTCCATAGGGTCTTCGTTTTAGTCCATAGGGTCTTCGTTTTAGTCCATAGGGTCTTCGTTTTAGTCCATGGGGTCTTCGTTTTAGTCCATAGGGTCTTCGTTTTAGTCCAAGGGGTCTTAGGTCTTAGGTCTTCGTTTTTGGGTCTTCGTTTTAGTAACACCCGGAAAGATGTACTCGCCTCATACCAGCTTCTGCCGAAACTATGTCCGAGTATTGGTTTCACAAGACCGGGACAAAGAAGACGATATCAGTGTTTCAGATATCTAAGTTCTGATTTACAACATCCTGCCGTTAAAAGAGTATCGTTACTGTAAATGAAAATAGAGCGAGGTAGCCATGTATTGAGATAGCCGACAGCACCAATGCTTTTAAAAAGCTTGGCTTTGCTTGAGGCGGTTACGATAGCGTACGTGACTGGAATTCGTTCGCTTCCTCTTCCAAAATTTTCCCACTTTTGTAATGTCTTAAGCTCAAGCGGGCGCCATCATGTTTCGCCAACGGGATTGACCTTTGCTATAGGCTCTCAATTCTTGTTTAATTTGTAACAGCTTTCACGAGCTCTCTGTGAAATGGTGGAATTTGCTGCTGCTTGATAATTTCTAGGCATAGGTGTTTCACCATCGCACCTTCCTATTTATTTCTTGCAGCTCCTTTCAACCACCCGAGAATGCGAAGGATAACATCAGCTTTTTAGCTGCCAGGCAAGCGCCTGATGTAACTCTGTAAACAATAGACTACGAGTAGTCCCCCATTTTTCCTCAGGGATAGTAGAGCGAGCAAAACGCGAGCGCGCGTGAAAATCAACCCACGCGAGAAAAGGCGACACGCGGCGGAAGAGAGAAAAATGAGGATTTTTCTCTCTTCCGCCGCGTGTCGCCTTTTCTCGCGTGGGTTGGTTTTCACGCGCGCTCGCATTGTGCTCGCTCTACTATCCCTGAAGAAAAATGGGGGACTACTCGTAGTCTATGTAAACAAAAGCAATTTACAGTTTTTCGGACACACGTTTGTTTACAAACAGAGCGTTGGCGATCGTACACTAGCACAATTCCTAAAACATGTTATAATAAATCAAAAACGCAGGTTTTACATTACAAGTATTCGAAAACTCCTCATTGGAGGTTTCAGAAAAAAGTGAAATCGTAGCAACACAAGAACCGGAGCTCGGCCAGCCCGTAAAGTGAGATTTATTTTAGGCGAGCTTTTTGACACATGAAGCTGACAGCCCAATGAACGGAAGTGATTTTGATTGGATGGTATCGAATCATGCTGTGTGGGGGTGGAAGGCTCCAGTAGAGGCATCTGTGTCTGGCGTTTCTCTCCTTCCGCTCTCTCCCTTTTTCGCTTCCATCTTTCCCCTTTTCCCCAGAAACGCCTGATACTCAGGCTACCTGTGTGGCAGAAAAATGAATTTGATGAAGAATTAAAGTGTGTGTGTTAGACTCCATGCCGCCTCCTTTGCGCAAATAGCGAGAAAGCTGGCCACAGATTTTTGCTGATTTTTCTCCTTCTTCAAGAAGACGCTACGCGTAACAAAATGATGAAAGAAAAAATGGGGGTCACTGTATTCGAAAAGCATTAAATAGCTATTCCTTTGCGGTTTAGGCTCAGTGTCATTAAAATCCGACATTGAAAACAAGTGTATGATCGTGCGAGTGCTCATGACGCAAGAAATTGTGCGCAGTGATACGTGCGCAATGAAAAACTAGATGCAAAACTAGGGTGTAATTCTGGTGACTATTTTAGAAAACGCGTCAACGAGACTTCCTATGTTTTGCCCAAGGTGTAACAATGCTATGACAGGAAGACGTTTGTTATATTTTACGCTTGTCACTCTCACCTAAGACTTTATCAGTTCATCGTCGTATATCTAGGGAAAAAACTTATGTAATCTTTCTAGAAAATATTACTGGAATTAATTGTGCAAATATATTGCGTCAAACTAATTGATGTGACGTCACTGTATCCTTGCACTCACTTGAACTTACTTCGCCGTAACATAATCATGATCACTCCTTTTGAGGGTGGTCTCAAAAAATCATCAAAACAGTTCCATTTGATTAAACTCCCGATGTAATTTCTTGATATTAGGAACATTTTTGAAACAATTTTGGAGCTTGCTACCCTACTAAGGCGCCGCGTTGGATCGAGCGCATTTTCCCAGGCCTATCGGGGGCTCTCCGTCGAAAGTCTGGGTCACGTGTGATATTTCAGCATGACAGTTGTAAAGATTTACCTCTGTGGTGTTTTTTCTGACATATGTCGTACACGTAAAATTACACTTCATATTACGGTGAATTAAACATTTGATTCTCGTTTCCCACATTCTGATTCTTATTATCAAACATTCAAGGGAGTAACCTAAATCAGTTCAAGGCAGTTACTTTAATCACGTACGTTTGCTTTCAGAATTCATGACTCAGGAAAATACCCTTTACCACCTTTTTTTAGAGACAGACTATACTTTAGGGACTTGATTACAAGTCTCCAAAGAACGGTTGTTGCTGAAAACTTCAATGGGCCAATTAAGTCGAAATTTCAAAATTCCCTTCCCAGGCATTTGAACTTTTGGAAATTCAGTCGTTCAAACCTCCGTTCTACAAGCCAAAGGTGGTGTTCAAATGTGCCAATCAAACTTGCAAGACATTCAAAAATCTTCTTTTAATCTAACTACCCGCTTGTGAAAGTCTATATGTTTATTGGCATTTACTACATAAGGCCGAGAAAAGTTGAAATCAACAACATTAACACTCCCGGGAGCCCATGATCCAGGAGCATAAAACTTTGATAAAATTGTGTAACGGCGTTTTCACCGACTGAGTTCTTTTTTTAGATCAATCTTCCCTCGAAACCAATCACATGTGCCGCATGGGCATCTGCTACCCTTGGGATTGAGAACGGCCACTCACGTTTTGTAAAACTCATCCAAAAAAACAGTCTGTGAAAATGCCATTGCATAGATCCACTATGGGAACTATACGCTCCGGATTATGGTCTCCTGACACTCCTTACTCGTCAAAAGTACATTTACAGTCCTTTCTCTTTGCGCCCCAGGCGCACGCGGTGACTTTAGCGCCGACAAAATCGTATTAAAACCTAACACTTGCAGCTCACACGCCCCACCCCACTCGGGCACGAAAATTGGTTAAATGCTTGGTATATGCCCTGGGGAAAGTAGCCTGCGTAGCTGGTGGTATTGTGTGGGTGCGCGAGTAAAGTTTTGGCGGCGGAGCCGTGCTCCAAAAAAAGGGAGTAGGGACGAGGCGGTTGAAATACCGCCTGCCAGAAAACCCCGGTATTTTGAATAGTCCGCACACTAGTGTGCGGGGAAACGGATTGGTCGAGGGCCATACATATGTCAATCATGTTAGATGAGCCTTCGCATATATTTCCCAATTTAGGGAGCAGATGGCAAACTGCAAAAAACGTACATGTAAAGTGATTGTGATTTCCGCTTTAAAAAGAGCATAATTGATGACCAAATTGTCGAAATGGCGTCTTTAAACTACACAGCGCTGGAATTGTCTTTACCTAGCCGTAAGAAACATAGATCAAAGAAAATGAAAACACTATACAACTGCATCTGAGATCAAATCCTATCAGGAACACCTACAGAATAATAAACCACCGGAAATGGTTACTCAGTATGCATGTAACAAACCAGCTTCATGACCTTTTAATGTTAAGCCTGGTGTTGCAAAAAAAGATTTAGTCAGTCAAAGTTTAGAATGATACATTCACTGTGTAGTGCTAGTAACCTTCGCGCGAGAGCCGAGAAAATAAAAAAACCTCTGTTCAAGCAAACTCACAAGGTCACGTTTCACATTATCACGAGCTTAGGAGTCGTGTTTAGCCTGTCAACGCTTATTTTTAAACTGTCTGGCGCGAAAATAGTCGGAAGTTTCAAATTGCAGGTTTCTCTTTGATTGGCTGATTTAATTACGATCAGCCAAGGTGACAAAAGTGGGCGGCATTCGAAAAATCATGGTTCTCTGGCAGGCGGTATTTCTCGCGGCTTCGCCGCTCTTGACGGCTCCGCCGTCAAATCTCACTCGACTATATTACAACGGCTCCGCCGCCAAATCTCACTCGACTACTACAAAATACCGCCAGCTACGCAGGCTATGAGGAAAGTTGATTGATCGGCGCACAAGTAATACCTTTCAGAAACAAAATTCGGCAAGCAAGAAAATTGATAACGGAGTGCAGGGTTCGCGAAGTGGTGAGAGCAATCGCCTCCCACCAGTGTGGCCCGGGATCCATTTCCAGTCTAGCGCCATACGTGGGTTGAGTTGTTGGTTCTCTACTCTGCCCCGAGAGGTTTTTCTCTAGGTACTCGGGTTTTGCCCTCTCCTCAAAATCCATGCATTTCCAAATTCCAATTCGACCTGCATTCAAAGGACAAAAGCAAATATATATTTTTTGTGTCACCTGCTTGAGATAATTGAGGGATGTTGATTTTTTTCAAGATTTCTCGTATTCGATTGCTTGACACCATTACTGTGGCGTCTGAGATTCATGATGTTTTCCTGTGTTCCATTCCATAGATAGCATTTCCCAAATAAAACACTTCCAGTGAGATTTTGGCATAAAAAGTGTCCCAAGAATGTCCTCGCAAAGCCGAATAATTCCGGCCCTGGGTCGTCCCTTTGACCTTGGCATGCTTTACGATCGCCGTTCAGAGAAGCTGATTCTTGGCAAAACATTGTGGTCTCCGGATCATCTGATTCAGGCCGTTAACACGATAACCAAACCATGCACCAACTCAGAAGTCCTTGCCGAAGACACAATTGACGATAAAACAAGTGCTCTCAATATTGAAGCAAGCATTAAAATGAGTTTTCTTGGGGGCTTAGTTAATGTACAAGGAGCAGCGAAATACTTAGATGACAGAAAGACATCGAGTAACCATTGTCGCGTTGTTCTGAAGTATGAGGTAACAACTGAGTTGAAACAGCTGACCATGGAACATTTGGGACGAGGAAAGGTGCAGTATCCAGAGGTGTTTGACCAAGATATTGCCACTGATGTAGTGGTTGGAATCCTGTATGGAGCCAAAGCATTTTTTATCTTTGACCAGGAAGTTTCCAAAGATGAATCCTTGAAAGAGGTGCATGGAAATATGGAAGTACTGGTGAAGTCCTTGCCTGGTATCTCTACAGACGGAAGAGACTCTGTCGACATTACTGAAGACCAGAAGAAGAAAACAGAGAAAATGCATTGCAAGATGTATGGAGATTTCAGAACAGAAGGAAGTCCAACTACTTACGAAGAAGCAGTAAGAGTCTACAAACAACTACCATCATTGATTGGGGACAAGGGTGAGAACGCAGTTGCTGTCCAAGTATATTTACGCCCGCTCAGTGAAATCGATACCAAGGGGCAACGAATGGTTAGAGAGATCAATGCAAATTATATAAGCAAGACATGTGACATTCAAGAGCACATACAGTTTATAGGATCTAAGTGCAGCGATTTAATGAGAGAGGATGTTTGTTCGTCGTTCCCTCGAATCAAGAAGCAGTTATCAAGTTTCAAAAGCAATATCTCGCGCTACAAGATCTTTTTCCAGAAGAAGTTGTTGCCTTTGCTTCCCACCATCAGAGGAGGCGGAGCAGAAGAATCAGCACTTGGCGATATCTTTAAAGAAAAAGAGCGTTCCCCCTTCGCACAACCTCGCATCGATGCTTGGATCGTGGAAAAAGAGAAAGAAATGAAGAGATTGCAAGGTATCATCGGTTTCTTGGGAGACACTCCTTTCGTTAGCCCTGAAGATGTGGAAAATAAAGCGTTCGACCCAAACAATGAGCATGTTGTGTGCTGTACATTTAAGATTGGCAAGGAGGACGATCCTCAGATTTTGAGTATGGATGCGTACCTCACAGGAAAAGTTCTGCCAGAATTGGAGAGAAAGGCATCATCAGGTACTGATGCTAAAAATGCTAATAAAAGAATCCGCCAGACACTGAAACAGTTCTCAGAACTGAAATCTGCAAATGAAGACCACAAGGAAGTGAAGTTTCTCGCCACAGAGGAGTGTCTTTCTGACAATTTCAATGGAAACCCCGGAGCCTTCATCTATCTCTACGAGGAGGGCGAACTAGAAAATGATGATTTTAAGCTATCACCAAAGCCAGAAAACCTAGAAGCAGAGAGCGCGCGAGACGATTCAATCGAGCTTTGGTGGAATGATCCGCACTGGAGCGAGAACAAAATTGAAAAGTACAAAGTTCAGTGCAAAAAGGATGAAGCTAATTCCGACTGGATCACTCAGTACACACCATGTGGAAAGCAAGCTAAGAAAACTGCTATCATATCTGGTCTTCAACCAGCTACCAGCTATCTGGTGCGAGTATGCGCTGTGAGGCAGATTGTGGTTAGCCAATACAGTAATACTTTGCCTGCAACTACCAAACCAACAAGTCCGCCTGGTAAGCCAACCTTTGCAGCTGCAACGACTGACACCATAACCATTGCATTCACCAAGCCCAAAAGTATTGGACAAGGAGTTAATATTGAAAAGTACAAGATTGAATGGATCTTCAATTCCCAACAGATGGAACAATTCCTGCACTACACAGAAGATGCGTCGCTGAATTGCACAATCAAGGGTCTTCAAGCAGGAGTACCCTACAATTTCAGCGTTACCGCGATTTGTGGTAGTGAAGGAGACAGCAACCCCAGTGACCCTAGTGATCCACTACAAACAATGGTACCTCCGACAAAATTTGATACAACCAGGATCCTTGCCCGCTGCAGCCTTGTTCAACCACCAGAAGATGGAAAGCCAACGGTGTACACTCTTCCTCTAACTCTCAAGTACCAAGACGGCCGCAGTCAATTGCGAAAGTTTGTCATCGATCTTAGAGAGAAAGGGGTGCAGTTACAGGGTAAATTTAATATCGTTCCTGAGAAAGTGATTATGGTTGTTGGGTCAACGGGTTCTGGCAAGACAACCACGGTGAATGCTATGATCAACCACCTCCTTGGAGTACAGTGGAAGGATAACTTTCGTCTCAAGATGATCCACGAGCTGTCTGGCAACCAAGGGGCAGGAACAATCGGAAATCAAGCACACAGTCAAACACAGTTCGTATCTTGTTATACTCTACCGTACATGGAAGGATTCAAAATACCTTACAACCTCACTATCGTAGACACTCCGGGCTTTGGAGATACAAGAGGAATTGAACACGACAAACTGATCACCGAACAGATCCGTAGATTCTTCCACACAACGGGCTCGGGAGGCATTGATCATGTTGATGCCATCTGCTTCATGGCTCAGGCTGGTAATCCGAGGCTCACTCCAACGCAGCAGTATGTTTTTGACAGAATCCTGGCCATGTTCGGAAAAGATATCAAGAAAAATGTCTTAGTGCTCTTTACCTTTGCTGATGGTGACAAGCCTCAAGCCCTGTCAGCAATGCTAGCAGCCGGAATCCTAGAGGATGAAAAAAGTAACTTCTTCAAGTTTAACAACAGCGCCCTGTTTGTCGCTAACTCTGGTGAAGAAGACGAAGAAAACTTCGGCAGAATGTTTTGGAGAATGGGAATCAAGAGTTTTGAGAAGTTCTTTAACGAATTGGCCAAGATGGAACCAAAAAGTCTTGTCCTTACCAAGCAGGTGTTGGATGAAAGAGCTCAGCTGGAAGTTCGACTCAGTGGTTTGCGGGAGAAGATTGACCTTGGAGTACACAAACTGAGCGAACTGCAACAGTTAACGAGAGTGTGCAATCAACATGCAGCCGACATAAATGCTAACAAGAACTTCAAGTTCACTGTTCAACAAGCAAAACGCGTCCAAGTAAAGCTGGACACTGGTACGTATACTACAAACTGCTTGGTTTGCAACTACACTTGCCATTATCCTTGTTCAATTCCAAGAAATGAGAATAAGAATGGATGCGCTGCAATGTCGAATGGGAGTTGCAAGGAATGTCCAAACAACTGTCGCTGGTCAGAACACGTAAATGACGCATATCGCTATGACACCCAGTACGAAACCGTGGAAAAGGAATATGACGAAATCAAAGAAAGGTTCAATATAGCGGTTGAAGGCCAGAGCCAGGTAGAGGCTGTGATCAAGCAAGTAGAGGAGGATTTTAATAACACCAATCGCATTGTATTGCACTTCGTCGCCGAAATGCAACGTGGTTTAAAGAAGTTGTCAGAAATTGCCCTTAAAAAGGATCCACTACAACAAGTGGACTACTTGCATTTGCTAATAGAATCTGAGAAATCACAAGCAAGACCTGGTTGGCAAGATCGCGTAAAATCTTTGCAGAAAACATTGGATGCAGCAGTCGAAATCAATCGTCTTGCAGAGCCTGGGTTCGATCCGTGGGAAGAATATCGAGAGAACGAGGAGACTCGTCAGTTCTTTCAGAATCAGAGTGAATCTCGCCTTAATCAAGCATGGAAGAAAACAAAGGAAGTAGCAATGACAGTCAAGCGAGGATTAGTGCGTTATGCTTCGAAAAAAGACAAAGAACTGAGCGGCCAGTAAAGTTTCCTGAGTGAAATACGGATTCGGACAATTGGAGCAATTAAACTATTTACTTGATTACCGACACTGAGGAGGGCTCGGGTGACACTTAAAAGAAACCAAAAGTTGGAGATTCAGCGAGGACATCCAGTGTTTAAAGCTTAGTGAAAGTCTGTTACGTTACAGGGAAGTTTTAAATATTTTTGCCTATTTTGGGGAATATATAATCATCGTGTGTTATTCTGAAATCTTTTCTTAGGGTTATTAAATTTTTTATCGGATGCTTTTCTTGGACTGCGGGATATTAAATAAGTACTGTATATCATTCAAGAAGAGTTTTTTTAATTAATCTTTTCATATGGGCACGCCGGGAGGATATACGGTATTGATTTTCGTCACGACAGCGATTCAAAACTCCATTTCGCTGATTATCGACGAAAACCAAGAGATTGCAGCGAGAACGTCATCTTAAAATCTTATTAGTAGGAATGATCCCTTTGCGAGTATTTCAACCTTTCAAATAATTCAAAGCAGTGCTAATTGCCCAAGAATGAAACTGGTATTGACGGCACTTGCTTGGCGGGAGAAAACCTCGTGTGCTGAGGTTGGTCACGAAGCGTTAAATTTGGCCTTTTCACGTTGGCGTTTTGCAGGAAACAACAAGATGTACTAACATGCAAAACGCACGTTCAGAGCGAACAAAGCTGTTGCTTTTGTCATTATAGATGCAAATTTATATAGATGCTTACATCGTGTTGTAGACATTCTAGAAATGTCATCACCTAATTAACCGTAGCATCCCGCCAGACGCACCGCGCGCCACACCCAGTATGTATTGTTTTAAAATTTTCATATATCTCCGATTGTAATCGTTTTTCTGGCAGTTGCCTAATGATTGCTTCCGATGAAGCATGAAACTCTGTTGGCACACATTTTAGGAAATATTTAATGAACATTTGGTGTGTGAATTTATTGCGTGTTATTCGGAATTTTCAATTGCGTGAACCTTTTTGGTGTGAAATTTGAATTTTGAATTGTGTGAACCGTTTAGAGCGAAAGCGTGAATTAGATTTACAATATTTACTGGAGAGTTAGGTTGATAACGCCTTTAAAAACGTGATCTGTTCTCGAAGACCTTTTTAAAAGACACATGCGATTGTCAGATTGTCACTAAGCAACACTCGATTAACCAAAATATTTTCTAGGAATAAGCACGTACGAAAAAGTTCTCACATGAAACTTGTAATGTGCTAAGACCCGCCCTTTTGACTCTGCGTTGACCTTCGTTAACTTGGTCAACTTAATTACTTTTGCCTTGTAGTTATGAATGACTTTTGTTTAGTTAATCGTCCTGAACAAATGTCTCGAGTTGTTTTAAGTACAATTTGAGCTTGCGTTATGTCATAGTCTGACAATCTTTCATAAAACTAATAGTACCTCGGAGTGAGTTAAGATTATAAATCTTAGTCCTTAACCGTGGTATTTTTACCATTTTGAACTTTGGAACCAGTTGGTTCCATCCTGGAAAAGAACAATGGAACTCTTGTTTTAATTAGGTACTTAACTTAAGTTGTTTACGACACAGGTTAATTAAACTTTGCTGTTTAAGAGTTTGCCAGTAAGAAAAAACAGATCACGTTCTAAGAGTACAACGCAACTATTTCGGACAATCCGCGGTGGTTGGTATAAGAATTTGTCCAGTGCTAAACTTTGTCCAGTACGAAACTAGGAGTGATTTCTTAATCCCTGAAAAGAAGCCGCTGTTGCTATGAACTCGCCGCCGAAATAATAGTTATCCATCTTCAACCAATGACGGTGCGTTGTCAGACTTGATGCGTTGTATTAACAAGTATACGTTTTGCACAAGAGCGTCACTCTGTACTTGGACCTCATGCCTTACAGACATTAAAGCTTTCTCTCCTGATAGTGTTGTCGAGTCTCTAAATCTGTCCCGTAACAACTGTGAGTAGCAATTAAATGTCTTGGATCAAATAATCCAGCTCTTCGACTATATTATTATCTACAGTCGAACCTCTCTAATACGGACACCGAAGGGACAGTGCGAAGTGTCCGTATTAGAGAGTTGTCCTTATAAAAGAGGGTACTATGATAACGTCACTTTTTTGACTCCACTTACAGTTTCAAGTGTTCAGTAGCTAAAGCCAGGTTCACGCTCGTCTTTAAACTGTATCAAAGTTAAAGTTATTAATTCACATTACAATGACACTGTCTTTCAGTAACATACAACATTGTGCGAGGGTCTGAATGGGGGGGTCCACTTGTCGGTTGTCGGTTAAAATTCAGTTACTTTGTCGGTAGTCGGTTAAAATTTCGATCTTTGTCGGTAGTCGGTTAAACTTTTTGATTTTTGTCGGTTGTCGGAAAATCGCTGTTAATAAGTAAAAACGCTTGTTAATTATTAATATGCTTATGTATTTCACCCAGTTTCAAGACTTTGATCCCTAAGGAAAGAGTAAAACTTGCAAGAATGCATCATTTGATTGAACTTCATTAACTCTTGTTTGTTTATGCAACATGATCGTTTATTTCACCATTGTTTGGCAAATGAATATCAAGAGTACTGATAAAATCACCAAACCTTTTATCGTAAATGCGAACTTGGTTTCTCTCTCGATTACAGGGCACAGTAAAAAGTAATTAAAGGTCAAATGAACCAAAAAATTGACATATTTTCTTTTGTCGTTTTACCTTCACCAAACTCTAAAAAGAACCATCCTAAGTGAGATTTGGGTAAAGATTATTTTTCTCAAGCCTTTATAGAAAGATAAAAGATCAAAATCCGAGCATTTCCGAAAACTTCACGAGAACGTTTCTGAAATGGCCACGTGATAGACTGGAGACTACGTGACGTCAATGTTGGTCTATCGGGGAGGAAAAACGTTCTGCGCAAGCTTCTGCGCATCCCTTATCGCCTGCGTTTGCTTGTCAGTTGTTTGTCTCGTTCTGTGAGAGTTCTGACTGAGACTGAATGAAATACACGAGGTGCGAACGTTTGCTCCTTGTAAAGGCTTTTTTGTTTTTGGTGTTGTTTTTTCGTCACTTGAAAATTACTTTGGATTCACAACAGCCAATGTTAGAGTAAAAACAGATCATCCGTTAGTCTGAGGAGGAATAAAACGTTTTGAACATTTCCAAAGAGGTTTGTATTTTTCTGATAATTGTGCATTCGATTTGTGAATTGATTTTTTGTCCAGTGCTTCGCCTTCTTTCGCCGGACTGAATTAAAACCTGCTTGTATTCTGTTATTAGTAGTTACGGTTAGTTTTTTTAAATGCCCAGATTTATTTACCTTTGCAGAACCAGCTTTATCCTTGTCTTATGTCAAAGAACCGTAATGCTAACGCTTGCAAGTGAACAAACTTGAGCGCTTAAAACTTCCTCGGAACTTTAGAAGGCCAGCAAGCTTACTCGAGAAGAAAAGACTACTTCGATCATTTTTCTGTTGCTCAAGTAATAGTAGTCAGAGTTTTTTTCGTTTAGTTTTTTCAGTTTTAATTACATAGTTTTGTTATCTCTCTGTGCACAAATTTTCCTTTCTCTCGCTGTGAAGTAGCGGAGAACGACAACTGCCGGCAGTGACTCCAAAACAATCGACTCTTTGCCCGTAAACAATTGCTGCAGCTGGATTTGACTGAAGCGAGCAAAACAAATCCTTATGTGCAGTTTTCTGTATTTTATAATGATTCAGTTTGCTGAGTTTAATTTGCTTGAATGAAAACCCTCGCATGGACCAGTTATTACTAAAAAGAAGTAGCTACTTTTGCTAAGTAGTCGGAATCATGGCTTGGCTGCGACGCTTGCAACTGATCCTTTTCTTTTAAGATCTTTAGGTAGGTTGTTTCGGTACAGAAAATTCACTTTTTCTTTGTCATCAGGTATAAGAGCCTTAAGCCTTATGTTTTTTTTAACGAAAATTTGTTGTTTTGCAACCTTGTTGAAGCTTTTTTTAGTTCACTTAAGCTGAATTTTATGCATGATCGAATTGTTCTTTGCTTGTCGCATCTCTTTGCCAGCTTAAAGTGGCGTCTATGGTCCTTAAAGTGATCTCAATCGGTAATTAAATCTTATACATAATTAGAAAGAAGTTTTTGCAATAATGTAACTTTAACTTTGTTTGAAGGAAATCTTACTAACGCGTAGGTTTTTAACAGTTGTTATGCATGTTCAACTTGACAACACAAAGCAAAATTAATCTGCACGAAACGATCAAGTTTAGAAAACTATTTCATGGTTGCTTTGAAACCGATCTTGGGGAAGATTTACTAGATAAAGATTAACTCTTTTTCTGCCCACATATCAACGCCAAAACTTCTACATTGAGGATTTTGTTTACATTTTAGTGATCTGCGAAGCTAGAAGTGTCCGATCGAGCGTGGGTTTTAAAATATCAGCTCGAGTGCGACAAAGTTCAGTGACTTCAAACACATTGTGGGAGAACTTGAATTTCTTTGGGCAGATTATTATAAAAAGATATTTTGTTTTTGTGTCCACGGTGGAACTCCGGACCTTATATATCCAGGAACTTCCTTGTATGAACACATTTTGTGAATGCATCTTGAAAAAAATCGGACTTACCCACGCACATTTCCAGTACAACTCAAGTAAATTAGTAAATGTCGTTAAAGTCAGTTTTACTATGATGTATTCTTCGAGAAATTAAATAATAAGAAGGTTATAACCACAGCTTGCAACTTTTGAAGACAAATTGCCTGTTCTTTCCAGGTTTATGGCCGCACAAACAACTTCTGCGCCAAGTCGACTCGAAAAACTCTGTTTTGAATTTCCCGCTTTTTTTCACCTGACCAACATTGACGTCATAAGCTGTTTTTTCCGACAATTTTTCCGACCGCTCCACGAAGATAAGGGCCAAAAAACAGCAATTTTTAATTGCGAATATCTCGGAGATACTTGCTTCAACTGAGCTGAAACTTCATAGTATGTTTATTTGGTTCATATTAAACACATTTCACTAGAACTGAACTAAAATAAAAAATGTCGAA